ATATAGTCGCACCGCAGCCACCTAACTCCAAAACACTCCGACGTCGCCCCTCCCCTACTCAAACCGTCCAAAATAGAAAATCATAACAAACTTTCAGCCATAAACATCCTCCACGCGCCAATTCAGTGACTATTTATATAATCTGAATGATAATAATTTATTTACCTTTATTGTATATTGAATGAAATTCTTGATTGTTAAAACTAAATTGATAGTAGTTAGACAGACATCCGGATTATGTATCAGTTGGACCTGATGCATCATATAATGATTCTTTATTAGGATCAGGGCCGATGGAAGGGGCGGGCGACCGCCCGGTACGCCTTGGACTTTCGCCTTGGTTTTCTAATACTGATTGGGCGCATTTCATCGGGCGCATTTTTTCGGGAAGGGGTGGGGGCGCAAAATTATCATACTTTTGCTCGCGCCGGCCCTGATTAACCTGATTTTTGTCGTTGTAAATACAGTTGATCCAAATCATTTATTAATTTTTGTTGACCATGGGATAATACTGGTGGTGGTTGAAATGCAGATTGTCTTTCAGGTATATACTGTTCATAAAATTGTTGTTGATTGAAGTTATTTGGTGATTGTCGTTGATTTAAGTTATTTGGCGATCGTTGTTGATCAGATGGTGATAGCCGATGTGCAGATTGTTGTTCGGGTGTATATCGTAGATGTTGCATTTCGTATGGATAATTTAGATTTATTTGTTGGAATGGCGACGGTGGTGGAAATCGTTGTAAATGTTGTTGCATATTCTCATGATAATTTGATTGATCTAAATATGATGATGGTGATGGTGCTCGATAACGATTAATATCATAAGAATTATCTGGACCTAATCTATTATTGTAGTCATAAGGTGAATAGGACGGATTATTCGTGTACCTTTTAATAATTAAAATAAAATATTAGTTAATAGTCGAAAATTGCTAATTTGTAGAGAACACCTGGAAGGGTCTACGCTTTCAATAACTCGGGGGTTGCATTTAATATGGTGGAGTAATGAAAGATTCAAAAAACCAAAAGTTCAACTATGCTACCCATTTTGAGTCGGTCATTGAGGGGTTGTCGAAAGATTTTGTTCATGAAAACTTGCTCATCATGCGAAATTGTTACTAGTAGGCTGGTTTTCTTTCAGAAACTACTCGTTGTTCCAGAGTTATAGGCCCAACAATAGGCTCGAAAGGTGAGTTTTGGAAAAAGTGGTCATTTTTCATCAACAAAATCTCGGTGTTCGATACCGTAACAATATTTTTATTCAAAATGAATATGATATTTGGAATGAGCATAAAAGACTTAGTTGAATGATGTTTAATGCAAAATATTCTTCTTCCAGTCAAAATCTGATCCCTTGGTGCCCTAAGGCAATTTTGTCCTATAAAATACCCTTAGAGACCAAGGAATCAAATTTTCGACCGAAAAACCGATTTTGCGAATTACATCAGTTTTTCATATTGATGCCAAATATCATATTCATTTTGAATAAAAATATTGTTAGAATATCAGACATTGAGATTTATTGATGAAAAATGAGCATTGTTTTCAAAAATCCACTTTCTGATTAGTTACAGTTCCTCATGACGAACAAGTTTTCATGAACAGAATCTTTCGGCAGCGCTTCATTGTCGTGGCGTATTGTGTCAAAAATACTTCGTGACTGCCGCCGCTTCAAAGGGATACGAAAATTGAATTTTTGGTTTTTTGAAAATTTCACTACTCCACCATATTAAATGCAATCCGCGAGTTATTGCAATCGTATACCGTTGGAGGTGTTCTGCCAAATTTTGAAGGTATGTTACATGAGAACACCCGAAAGGCGAGAAGTTTGACCACAGATACTATTTCATGTCATATACAAGCTGGTTGTTTCAATTGTGCCCAAGAATGGAAAAAGTATGTTGAAGTAGCTTGAAGTACGGTTATCTTGTTTTTTCCACCGTGCTTTTAGCTTACCGTAGTCACATTAGTTGCAAAAATCAATGAACTTTAGTCTTCCATGCAATATAAAACAATGTATGGTAAGCTGTAATCTGACATTGATACACATTAATGGCATTTTAATATGTATCAATTAATTTAATCAATGGCAAAGTCTTTTTCACATTTCTGACATAAAGTTATAGAATAACAAATATTACTAATAGATTATTTATTTATTTACCTGGGCGTTCGTTGAAGCTTGGATTATTTACTGGTTGAGGATATGGAATTTCTCCTGCTCGAGGCCAATATCCTCGACTATTATTGCTATTACTGTCACCGCCATTCATTGATGGATTTTGTTGTACATTATATAATGCAGCGACTTCTACTAATAAATTTTGTGGTACACGTACTATTTGTAAGATATCAGGATCTGTGATTTTAGAAATTTTTGCTCTAGTTTCCATTAATGTTGAATTCAATCTATGGTGATCTAAATCAGTATATATTTTTATATACCGTGTATATCCCGATAAATCATCTTGTTCTGTTAATGGTCCACTTGATATACCTTGAGCTCGCTTATGTAATTCTTTTATAATTAAACTTTTTTTATCATGATCTGTTGAACTTTCATGATATTTTTGAACCAAATCTGATGTTGAGAATTTAGTAACATCCATTTTCTGATTTATTTTAATTTTTTGCTTCTCCTCTTTAATTTTCGATGAAGTACCTATTCGTTTCTCCTTCACGTCCACATTATCATCATCATCATCATCAGTATCATTATCGTTACTAGCCTCTGATTCATTAGATGATTGTGGTTGTTTTTTCGTTTTTTTCTTTGGCTTTGTTTTCTTGACCTTTTTAGAATTTACACCAGTAGTTTTAAAACCAGGGTGTTTCCTATTATCACCATTATCATCATCAGCATCATCATCATCATCATCAGTAGCCTGTGAGTCATTAGATGATGATGGTTGTTTCGTTGATTTTTTTGGCTTGTGTCTTGAAGCATTCAGAAATGCAAGAACACTAATAGTACCACTTTTATTATCATTATTTGTGTTCATGTTTGACTAAACACAAAGAATATAACAATTTTATATTGTGTTATGAGATGAACAATTTAACTCTATCAAAAAATGTAGGCGCTCACAAACGCTAGTATCATTCTTTTTTCCGGATATTTGACCTTCCTCTACCTCTTTGTCATCACGTGTTATCATGAATCTCTCCTTCTTCTTCCCCTGATGACAGCGTGATCATTCCGTTCACCTTAGAGAAAGCTCTTTTTCAAAAATTCACGAAAAGGTTTCACCTTTCCATCTTCTCTGCATATGGAGAATGTGTAGCTTCTTCCCGCGCGACTAGCCCAAAATAGGAACCTAAACTTTTCTTTATACGTAGGATACTCCTTCGCAACCTCGCTGATCTAAAACGGGAGCCTAAAGGCTACCAATAACATTAAAAGAAAGAACTTAAATCACGCGGAGTTTCAGAGGGTGCAATAGTTTCACTGAAAAGAAACTTTTAGGTTCCTGCGCAAGGGGAGTTTTAGGGACCGATGAGTAGTAGCCTATCTGAAAATAAAAGTTTAGTGTGAGGGTGAGGGTGACCCTCACTCTCACCCTCACCCCTCACAGAGGGATTTTAGAGGAGCGGCAGTCGCCTTAAAAAGAAAAGTTTAAGTTACTGTTTAGATTATCACTTTGAAGCTTTTCGTGTAAACGTCATAACTCAATGAAAGAATGTTGTGAAGAGCTGCGGAAGGTCTCATTTTGAAGAGAAGACCTTGCTCTATCTTAGGAAATGATGAAAAAAATGTTTCCATGGGGTTTTAAAAAAGTAGGATTTTTCAGAAAATCTTCTTTTCCAACAGGTTAAAGTTAAGTTGATATTTATTGAATAATACATACACACACATCGAAGTCAGCGCTGAACGAACCTATCCTCAGATTTGTTGCGGCTACTAGGGTTCACAAGAAAGAACAAAAACAAGCTTGTTTCTATACTTTTTGCCTCCACTTTACATATCCCTCAGAGAAAATTTTTTTTTTCAGATACCCACGAACGATATTTTTACCTTACCCAGTTCGCCCTCCTTATTGCGAATGCGCAACCCCCCCCCCT